ATGGGGAAGATGGAGAGGAAATGTGACGGGGGAGAGAGGGAGAGAGGGGGAGAGAAAATGAAATTAGGGTTTGAAATTGGGTAGAATTGATTTAAATAAAAATTAATTTAAAAAAGATTAATTAAAACCTGATTTATGTATTATTAAAGTTGATTTTGGATTTTTGAAAATGATAACTTAAAAACCTTTGTGGGTGTAATTTCCTCTTTAAACTATGTAGCATGTCAACTGGATTTGGGCCATCAAGTTTGGATTGCCCAAAATCACGAAAAGTGCATCAACATATACATGGGTTCAAGCTTGGGTCGACCCAAGTAATTTTCATTTTTTTCTGGTGAAAGACAAAATTTTCCAAGAATATCATCACAGATTATTAATGCGCATTCGATTATAGCGAAAATATTCCTCCACGGCACACCGGGAATATGGGGCCAAAAATTACAGAGCAGCATAGAAAAAAATTACAACCCTGCCTTAGCTAAACGCTCTCGCCAAAAATGTGTGCGAATAATGAAACAGAATCCCAGAGCAATACTTAGCAGTACAATGGACAAAATTTTACCCGGTTGAGTAATCATAATATAGAAAACATGGGTTCGTAGACATGAAGTTAAGGAATGTGGGATCCCCAATCCATGAGAAAAAAGAGGGGCCAGAAGATGATTAAAGACAGTCGACATCTAGACATCTCTAATTCATGTGAATGATTTAGGAAACCACGCCTGTCATGATTTTGTTGTCTTCCTATTTCTAAAGAAACTCACAAATTAGTTACACACAAGAATCCATTCTTCTCTTGCCCCCATTCATTACCAGTAAACTTAGAAATGTTTAGTACGTAGTAATTGACATGATTGAATCATATAATATAATTTTTTTTTTTTATCTAAATTGTCAAGTATTATCTGGTCCGACATTTCAACGTACTACTATATTGTGATAAACAAGTATCATTTCGTTTCAACAAAAATTCATTTTTCCTTTGTTTTCTTATCATGTATATGAACATGTTACATGTGAAATTGATATCCTCCCCACTGGGGCAAGATAAAAAAAAAACCTTACTTATTGTTCCTTTGCCACATCAATGGTGAGAAGTTTTTATCCGGACATAAGATCAGGCCTGAACATGCTATAACTTCTCAATAGTTCACAAAAGGCATACTTTGATGAGATTATTCATTCACTCAACTCCTTTGTTTAAGTACACTGAGTAACTGCATTTTCTGACTTACTAACCTGGCTTCCAAGCCCTCTGCTCTTGAACCTCGCCTTTGGATTCCTCGTCTCCATTCAATACGACCTTGCATACCTCGAACTATGTGCGGATTCCTAGGATTAGGTGGGCACCAGTGACCATCAGAACGGTGGCCATAAACTGCTGCTTCACCGGACACTCTTTCTTGAGAAATAAACCAAAGCTTGCCAGGGGATGGACCTTTTTTCTTCGGTTTCTTTGATAAAACCGAGGAAGCCTCACTGAATTTGGACTTCCCATGATGTTTACAATGGTCATCTTCCGGTTTGCCACTGGAAATGTACTTACATCCATTAGTGTCTTTCACTGATTTCTCGAACTCCTCAAGATTGAAACTAGAATTTTGGTCAGCTTGGATCACGGTCTCCTTGTCACTTGAATGCATATTGGTGGTGCTCCTTGTAATACTCGATGAATGACTGTTAGGACTATGACTAATGCAACGGTCCATTCCCCTTCCTTTAGCCTCGTTAACTCTTGAACCCTCGACGATTGTGTGTATATAATCTGGTTTTGGAGGCGCGTCTGAGAATTCGTTCGTGCCTTGGACTTCGATCGGGCTCTTCTTGGTCATATCTGTTTTGACATTTGTCGATCTCAAGAATGTCTCGAGCTCTGCTATGATATTACTCATCTCAGAATACTTTTCCTCCAAAATCAGCTTCGCATTGACTAACTTCATCTGGACACGTTCTTCGTGCCAAGCCTCGACCATTTGCAGCATTTTCCTCTCTTCTTCCACCTTCTCTAAGACTCGACCACGTTCATACGTCAACGCTCTAATTTCAGCCTTTTCCTTCTTAATTTCTTTAGCTAGCTCAGTACATACCTCCTGCAAAAACACTCTCGCTTTTCTCTCTCTCTCGTAGTTTTGCACGAATTGCTTGGCCGATTTTTTGGAATCAGCAAGATTGCTAAGAAGTTTGGAGTTAAGAATATCCATACTTTGAAATTTTCTTTTTTCCCTTATTTTGCGTTCCTTTAAGTCCTCGATCATTTCACTCATCTTTTGAAGCTCTCGTCTGATCCATGAAGCCCTTTGTTCATCGAGTTTCCTCGTGAAGCTTTCGAGTTTCATCCTAGAGAACCTTCGCTTAGCTTCAAGCTCTTTTATTCGATTTCGGGCTTCGACCAATTCAACTTGCAAAGCAGTAGCTGAGGAAGTTGCAATCTTTGCTTTCAAGTAGCCACATTCCCAATTTGTTGTAGCTCCTTCCATTGAAAAATTCAACTGGATTGATGAATTACAGAGAAAGTTTAGAAACTTCGGTGATTTGAACTTCAGGGAAAAGATGTATCATTATTAACAAATTTATTACAACCTCGGACCCCTAAAAACAATCAAAGCATAAAACCCAAAAACAATATAGAAGAGAAGATTCCTCATTCATCACTGTACTTTGAAAAAATTATAGAAAATTTAAACCTGATGGACAACATAAGAAGAATTTAAAGAAAAGGAAAACACTACTTGTTAAAAAATACCTCATATCCTAACCGATGAAGTAGCCCATATCGCCACCGGGCGCCACCTGCCGTCGAAGCAAACTGCCACAGTCCCGCGGCAATTTTCCTGGCTGAAACCGAAACCGCCGCCGCCTGGATGAAATCTCTGTCATGCAATTTCCATTGCCGAAGAGGAGTGACAACGAGCCCACTTCCAACCCACCTCCTCCTCCGGCCAACATCACTATTTCCCTTCCGCCGCCGGCGTATACTCCGATAACCGGTCAACTTATCCCCACCTGGCTGTGAACTTGGACTAAGAATCGACTCAGCACCATCTGAAACCTTCATGCTCCACCAGAAATCTGGGTTTCCATTACTCAGTAAAATGAAAGCACTCAGCTTTTTTGAATTTCAATGTGTATAAGCATACATATACAAACAAATACAGATGTGTTATATGCGATTTGTTTTGGAGATTTGGGAAATTTGTCGAGGGGATACAATTTTCACACCGAACAGGAGTTTATGGATGACAGTGTTGCTTGTAGGAGACAGGTGCTTTTGATTTGTTGTCTTATGTAGTATGTACACAGAATTTCATGCACAATCTTAGGTTCACTGCTGTCAAAAATTTGCGAGTCAAGTCACCAAAACTATGGTATATGTTTAATTTGATCACTAAATTTTCTTTTTACTTCGACTTATGGTTGATATTCCACTTTTACTAGTCTAAGTACTTCATCTTTCTTCTTTGATTATGAATGGAATATAAATGGTTTCTAGAATGATATTATAGATTTTGCGATTTACGTCATTATTTTCGCTAACTCGATAAATGAAAATTGAATTTTTTTCGGGTTTTATTAACCAAAGTGAAGCAATATTGTTGTCTGTTGGATGCAATTTTTGGGTAAATATTTTCCCTTTTTAGGTTTTGCAAAAATTGTAGTTTCTAATGATAAAAATTTATGGGATGCATTTGCTGGAATAGGGGACGACAAATCGTTTGGTGCAAATAAATTATATTTCTGTTCATTTTCATTACTCAACAACAGGTACTTACACCTACACTGGAATAAAACTATCTTTCCCAAAAAAAATCACGTTGGCCGACCAAGCTTTCTAGCTCAAATGAAGTGCATTATGATGATTTAAGCTTGTTAAATACACTTTTTATTCGCACATTTTAGTTTCATAATTTACT